AGAAGGAGGAGGAAGGAGGGGTGGGAGGGTCATCATTAGTTAAAGCAACAAGGACAGAGAAAGGAGGACAGAGGGACACCAGAGGGCAAGATCTCACTGGCTAAAACAAAAGCTTTGAGAAGTCAGCAAGTCAAATGATTCCTCCACCCTCGTGAGTGTGTGTGTGTGTGTGTGTGTGTGTGTGTGTGTTTGGACTTTTGGATGTCTGATCCTGGGAAGCCACAATCTACCTTTGTCTTGCAGATTAGGTAAAGGGGAAGGGAAACAGATGAGTGATTACAATTCATCTTAAGACAATTTATTTCCAGTCGTAATAAATAGGAGGTGTGGGAAAGGAATGGGGAGCAGGACATAAGGATATAATCCCCTCTGTGTCTAGATGGATGTCCCAGTTTGGGGACCCCTATTTTTTAATACCAGGGCTCCATTCTGGGACCTTCCTATTTCAGTGATTTGACTGGGAGATAATTGTTCTCCAGGCAATATTCATTTGTACCTGTTGTTCAGGTACCTGAGACTTATAGAGTTCATTGAAAACTAGCTAGAGAAGTTCTCCAGCAGCCTACTGCTTCGGTTAATACATTTTTTTCTGGGAAATGTCCCTGGCATTGTCACAAGCCTTGCAACTCTGTTTGGATGCAGTTAATTCTTGACTCCAGGGGCATCCATCACCAGCAAACTATGGTGAGAGTATACCTGTTAAAAATGTTCTCTCTGAGCTCTGCTGCTGATTATGGACCTTCAATGGCTCCACATTGTCCACTGAATAAAAACCTAGTGCCCTGGCCTGTCTCCAGGACCCTTCACAATCAGGACCCAGGTTTACCTTCCCAGACTCCTCTTACTACCTCCTTTCAATCCATGGACCCCAGCTGAATCACATATAGACGCTTATAATGACCCTTTACCATTGTGCTCACATGGGTGCCTGGGAGCTGTGGCTCGCTGCCAATGCCCAGCGTTTTCAGAGAGTCTTGTGTTGTATATCACTAGCTGGGGAGAAGATCAAAATTCTAAATTTGAAGAATGGTTTTTGCCCAATGTTTATGCCTTTTGCACCACTGTAAAGTTGAAAAATCCTGTCAAACCATTATAAGTTAGAAATCATCTGTATTTGCTGGTTCTTTTATCTGCCCTTCTTCTTTATGTCCCTTCTACTCATAGTGTTTTTTTTTACCTGCAAATTCTATCCATAACCTTCACATATCAAAATTTTCCTTCTCCATGAGCAGCCACTCCTGGCTTCCACAGCACATTGTAGTCTTTTATAGCCTTTTGTTTGTGCCTATATATCCCTGCTAAATTGTGAACTATTAGGGTTTGGGGTTAATAGAGACTGTCAGTATTAGTCAACCTGAGCTGTTATAACAAAATATCATATACTCGGTGGCTTAAACAGTAGAAATTTTTTTTTCTTACACTTCTGGAGTCTGGAAATCTGGGATCAAGTTGCTAGTATAGTTGGGGTTTTGTGAGGGCTCTCTTCCTGGCTTGTAAATGGCCTCCCTCTCCCTGTGTCTTCATGGTCTTTCCTTAGTATATAAGTGAATGTGGGAGGGGGGAGATCTTTTTCTCTTCTTATAAGGACACCAATCCTGTCTGATTTGGATAACATTTTTATGACTTTGTTTAATTACGTCCTAAATCCCTATCTCCAAATGCAGTGACATTGGGAGTTAGGATTCAAACATGTGACTTTTGGGAGGAACATAATCCAGTCTATAGAGTTCCACATTTGGTCCTTTAAAGTCATGCCCTTCTTATATGCAAAATACATTGATTACATCCCAACAGCTCCCCAACTCTTAATTTATTTCTTTGTCAACTTCAAAGTCTCATGTAAATATCATATAACTCCGATTTGGGTGAGATTTGAAGAACAACTCATCTTAAGACAAAATTTCTTTGCAGTTGTGAACCTGTAAAACCAAAATACAATAGTGGGACAGGATCGATATTCTCATTCCAAAGGGGAGAAATAGGAAAGATGGAAGAGGTGGTGGTTCCCAAGGAAAGGCCAAACCTAGAAAGGTAAATCACATTTCATTTTAAGGATTGAGAATAATCTTCTTTGGTTTGATGCTGTGCCCTCCAGATCCAAGGAGGTTGCAGTATCACTCCCATGCCTGTAAGTGGGAGTCCTGTCCCCAAAGCTTTGACAGAGGCTGTCCCACCTATTGAACCAGGTGGCCCTGATTCTCTATCTCTAAATCACCCTCCAGTGATTGTTTTTTCCTCTTGAGGAATAGTGCATGTTGGCAGTTGAGTACCTGAATCATCTTGTCCCCCACCATCAAGTCCAAGTTCAATAGCTTTTCCTCATTTGCCCAGCCTCCATCCCTTCAGTTCTAACTGGCAATGTTTCATGTAATCCCGTAAGTATTTTATCACCCCAGGTCATTTTATCAAATGATAGCCCTTGGTGCTCCCTTCAGAGCATGCTTTCTCATGTTTTATAATGTTGGTATGCTGAGAATTTCCCTAGTCTTTAATTTCTGTTCCTTTTTTGCTTAAAAATCCATCTCCAATTAATTGCTCTCCCTTTTTGTTTTACTAAGCAGTAGGAAGGAAAGCTGTTCCTCAACCCTGCTCAGAAATTGCCTCAGCTAAATATTTATTTAATCACGTAAGAGTTCTACCTTCTACAAAATACTAGAATACTGTAGTGTTGAGGGTTTTTTTTTTGTTGTTTGTTTTTTGGCCAATTTATGAGAGCAACATCTTTCTTCCAATGTACAATAACATGTTCTTAATTTCCATGTGAGATCTCACCAGAAAGACCTTTAATGCCTTTATTTCTATGGACATTCTGTTCAAGGCAATCTAGGCTTTTTATAGCATTCACCTCAAAACCCCTCCAGCTTCCACCCATTACCCAGTCCCAAACCAGCTTTCATATTTTTAATTATTTGTCATAGGAACGCCCCATTTCTTAGCAACCAAATCCATCTTACCTTGGTTGCTATAACAAAAGACCATAGAAAGGGTGGATTAACCCACAGAAATGTCCTTTCTCACAGTTCTGGAGGCTGGAAGTGAGATCAGGGTGCCAGTGTGGTTGGGTTCTGGTGGGGGCTCTCTTCTTGGCTTGCAGCTGGTCACTTTCTTGCTGTGTCTTTACATGGTGGAGAGGGAGAAAGAGAGGGGGACGGTGGATTCTGCTCTTTTTCTTCTTCTTGTAAGGTTAACAATACTATCAGATTAGGATCTCAATCTTTTGACCTCTTTTAATCTTAATTACCTCCTAAAGACCTATCTCCAAATATAGTCACATTGGAGGTTAGAGTTTCAATGTATGATCAGGGAGTGGGGGTTACAATTCACTTCAGAGCACTGCTTAATATTTAAACCCCTCTCATTCCTATCCCAGTATTCTATATAAAGTAAGTGTTCTATAAGTGTATGTTGAATGGAAAGAAATTGAATTCCAGCACCTCCAAGGAGTGGTTTTTACAAGCTGTGCTTTCTTAGCTTGTCGAATTTCTGAGGTCTCATATCTACTGGAAGGGCCACAAAGAGTGAACAGGTTTTTGTAGGAATGGGCTGAAGGAATTGTCTCAGCTACAGCTATTAAGGATCAGACTCATGGGGTAAGAATGTTGTGAGGCTGTTATTCATCCGCAAGAGAAATTCCATCTAGAATGTAATGCTAACAATCATAATTCTTCTAAGCATTTGGATCTGTTTTAAAAATATCTATCACAAGGATTATGAAATTGTGCATATGACCGAATTGCATTTCTTATGTGTAGACTGAACCACCTGTGATGATGGTGCTGCAGCCACGTGGTGGGCATTTTGACCTCAGTCACAGATTAGTTTCATGTTCCCATTCATGGTTTTCTATTGTCTTCCCTCCTATTTTAAATTTACGTAATCTTGCCATATTTTTGGCACCTTTAAACAGAATTTGGTTACAGAATTTCAGAAATCTTTCCAGAAGCATAGTAAGATTTAAATGCATTTTAAAAATAAACAAAATTGCTCATAAAAATTCCCTGAGGACTAGCAGCACACACACACAAAAAAAACTTAAAGAGCAGGATCAATTCACATATGAGCCCGGTATTGGGTGAAAAAAAAAAAAAAAGCCCGTGTTTCCTCTTATCTATTAGTTAATGAGTTAATCCTTAACAAACTTTAAAAATAGCTCTTAAAGCCCCATTACAGATGAGAAAGCTGGAGCTCATGGAAATGAAAAACACGTCCCATTTTTGAATTGGGAGGGCTGATGTTCAAACCCTCATTCATCTGATGCTAAAATCAACATTCTTTCAATCCTGTTCCCCTGCTTTCAAGATAGAGGCAAAGTTCATTCCTAGGGAGGATCAGGGCCAAAAAAGAGACAGAGAAATGACCTTGAGGAGTTCTGGTCCAGGGAATCCATGGACAAGTGTTCAACCTCTGGGCTGAAGGGCAGCTGCAAGAGCCATTTGCACTGTTGGAGGGAAGCTGGGTTCTGAATGGTGAGGCTAAGTTCAGGCCACAGGAGAGCTTGTATGAGAACTGAGTCAGCTACTCAGGAGACTGAGGCAGGAGGATCACAAATTTGAGGCCAGCCTGAGTCTGTTTTAAAACAAAAAAATATAAAGGGCTGGGTTTATAGCTAAGTGGTAGAGTGCCCCTGGGTTCAATCCCCAGTACTAAAAAATAAAATAAACATCAAAAAATCCCCTGTTTGGTACTGAGCAATAAGAAGGAAAGAACAGATGAGGCTTTGAAATTTCCCAAGAAGGATCCCCAGCATTTTAAGTCCATAAAATAGATCTGAAACTGGTCTTGGGGACCTCTGTTAGCCTTGGCAGAGCAGGACATTTCAGTTCAGGAAGCGCTGAATAAATGTCTGATGTGTGGTGGGTGCTGGAAAAACAGCCACAGCCAGGGTTCTGATCTTGGGGACCCCCACTGTTCTAGGAGGACAGACAAGTCTAAAAAGGGATCTCTTTAGGTCTGGAATCAAGGGTCCTAGGAGTATTCATATTCACTCATCTTTCTTCCAGGGCCATGTTCTGCAATGACTTAAAGGAAAAGTATGAGAAGAGGATCATCATTAAAGGGGTGGACGCCGAGACCATGCACACGCTCCTGGACTACACATACACCAGCAAGGCGCTCATAACCAAGCAGAATGTCCAGCGGGTCCTGGAAGCTGCCAACCTCTTCCAGGTGTGTGAACAAAGGGACTTGGTGCTCTTCTCTTAGGCAGGTGAAAGCAGTAGTCCCCAGAGACCTACCTGTACTGGCTCCCAGGCCTGTATCTCACCCCACCACACACACACTTAGCTGGGCCTGTGCTTACTTGAAAGTCAGAAGATGTTCATTTAGAAAATTTATGAGAGGTGGTGAGCTGGGACATTGACTCATGAGATGAAGTCAGGGGATCTGGGTGCCTAGAATGTAGACATGTTCTTGATTGCAGGCACAATGACACATCTTGTAACAGTCTAACTGGAGCCAGACCTGCAGCCAGTGCTTCATATGCATAACCTATGACTCTCAGCACAACCTGGAAAGGTGATTACTTCCCCATTCATGAGCAGGGAAAATAAGGCCATTCAGAGAATGATTGACATGGCTGTGATTTGAACCCTGGGTTTTCTGATTCCAGGGTCCACATGCTTGCTACAATACCATGCAATTTCTCAGGCAGTGATGTCTAAGTTCTGGGGGAAACAGGGCCTGTTGTGATTACACTATGTAGTGACTGAAAGAATAAGACTGAAAAATATGGGGTATCGTTGAAAACCCTCAGAATTAAGTTTAATTTTAATATAACATGTATTTCTTCCCATCCAATTATGTTGGCTTCAATGTGGTTACAATAATTATATTTAACTTCATAAATAATTAGACCCATAGATGATGTCAGTTGCATCCACAATTATATCAGGGGTCCCATCCCAAGTCACCATCTTTACCTGAGTCGAAGGTCACACCATTGAAATTGAGTCTAATGGGTTCAGGCAGAGACTGTCTCATTGCTTGGATGTTGAGACTTATCAGAAACATATACAATATGTATATACAGCATACTTTTTAGTATTTGCAAAACCGAGAGAAAATAGACACTTTCATTCATTGCTGGTGGAAGTGTGTAGAAATTTTTTTGGAAGTCATTTGGAAACAGATATGAAAAACTGAAGGAATAATTATGGATTTTTGAAGTAGTTCATATAAATAGTTCTGTAATGAATTGGGTTATGTTCCCTAGAAAGATATGTCTGAGTCCTAATCCTTAGACCTGTGAATGTGACCTTATTTGAACAGAGGGTCTTTGCAGATGTAATTAAATATCTTGAGATAAGACTATAATAGCTGGTATCTTTGTGAGAGAAAGGAGGGGGGCAGTTTGACCTGGAGGCAAAGGTGGCTTAGGACAACAGAAATGTATCCTCTTGGAGTTTTGGCAGCCAGAAGTTCAATATCAAGGTGTCTGCAGAGATCTATTCCCTCTGGAAGCTCTAGGGATGAATTTCTTTGCCCCTTCCAGTTTCTGGTGGGTTCTGGCATTTCTTCCATCATGACCACAGCTAATCTCTGCAGTTGTGGCCACATTGCCTCTTCTTTGTCCACAGGTCCCCTGGAGGTGTCTGTGTTTTATAAAGGTACATCTGAGTACATTTAGGTACCATGCTGAGGAGAAACACCTCCTCTCAAGCTCCTTGCCTTAATCATGTCATGTGGCATATAAGTAATATTCACTCCTTTGCCACACAGGGTAGTATTTATAGGTTCTGGGGATTATGGCATGAACATAACTTTTGGGGGCCCAACATTCCACCCTCCACAGAGGGTTTCTTCAAATACCCTCTGATGATTTGATTCTTGGTAATCTAGTCATGTTTTGGATAGAGGCTCTGATATGCTAGTTTGAAGCTCAGTGTACGTAGGCCAGGGTGGAAGGCCAGTGGACAGGAGAGTTTTTCCAGTGCTCTCAGCTAGCCTGCCAGTTTTCCTTTTATAGGGGGTTCCCAAATGTTAGAACCTATTGGGCTTTTCCTAGGATTGCTCAGTTTCTCCAGATAAGGCTCTTTTCTCCTGCTCCAGGGTTATAAGCCAACTACATGTATTAGTTTGTGTGTGTGTGTGTGTTTGTGTGTGTGTGTTGTGTGCAAATCATCTTCATTTAACCCCTATATTTTCAATATGATGCCTGCATGTGTCTTCCTCAGGTTCTGGTGTCCCTGAGTCTACAGCCTCTTTCTCCAGAAATTAAATCTTTTCTAGTGGGAGTGGGATAGGAATTATTAGACCATAAGAAGTTAGGGGGTGAAAGGAGGCACAGGAACTTCTTCATCTGTCCCCCTGCTGTCAGTGGCGCCTACCCTGGCCTTCCTTCTTCCATAAGACCTCAATAGTCCTGCTCTTTTGGGTTCAGAGGGGCAAGCTTGTTCCCCTTTAGGCCTGACCTTCCCTCTCAGCAGAGTCACTTGCCAGTCTCTTGTTTTCTGTGGTTTGGGGTTACTGGTGCCGCCTGGTTTCATTGAGGATGGTGTTTTATGTTTCTGTTTTTTGTTCTCCTTTCAGTTTTGGGTGATTTTTCAAGAGATAAAAACTCTTATGATATTAAAGACTATGATCTTTTATAATGTCTTTTGAAAATATTTGCCACTGGTCATTTGACTCATAATTTTTAATTACAGCTTTATTCCACGTACAAAAGTATTTAGTCAGATCTATTCATCATTTCCTTATTTTTTTGCTTTTGGTGTACATTTTTAGAAGGGCTTATTTAGAAGGGCCTTCCATTGCTTTTTCTTATGCTTATTCACTTATAACTTCATTTAATCTTTTGTATTTACAGCTTTGATATTTAAATATTTATATATCTGGAATTATTTTGGCATTAAATATTTTCTTCTTCAATTCCCTTCTCCATCTCCTCCTTTGCTTCCTCCTCTTCCTCTTTCCCCATCTTCTCCAGGTGATGAGCCTCAATAGAGAGGTTGGTTTTAACAAGAGAAGTGGGAGAAGGAAGATAGGATAGAGACAGGACAAGCTCTGTTCATTGTTGATTCCTCTACTCTGGTAATCCAATCTTAAAATTTTTCCAAATCTCTTTCTAAGAAAAAAAAATTATTCTCCCTAAGGCTATTTTAAGAAAACTAGAGAAACACTCTGTGGACTTCTGGGTCTCCATTTAATCTACTGATTTCTCTGGACTACTTGCTACGAAGTCTCAGATATGAAAAACTGGTCACAAAAAATAAAAAAGAAAGTCAAACTTGAAAAAACAAACTGGGACTCCTTTCATATGTGAAGGATAAAAATTAATAGGTCACTGAAATCACTTCATAGTTTTAAAAGAATTATTCTTTGGAATGGGTTAAACATGCCCATGTCCAATTTCAGGAAGGCTGAAGGGAAGGCAGTGAGGGTTCGCCATTGTCACTCTTAGTGAGGTCTTGCAGTTTTTTCTGTTCTAGGTGCATACAAGACGATATACACATATACCAGTCCCATTCATTGCTCTCATTTTCCAGACACAGATGTTGGTATACTCTATTTCACATCCTGCTTTGTTTTATAATATATTTTGGAGATTGTTATAGGTCGGTGTGTGTAGAGCCTTGTGTTTTCAATAGCATATAATATTATTAAAGTCTCCTGAGATGGGACATGTTCTCCATAATGGTCTCAAATAAGGCAGAGAGGGTAGAGGGGAAAAACCATGGGTTCAGAGTCAAGCAGATTTGGGTTTAAACCCCAAGCCAGCCATTTGTTTGCTGTGTGCTTGTGGACAAGTTACTTTTCTGAGCCTCAGCTTTCTTGTTTGTAAAATTAAGATGTAAAAATTAAGTTGTTTGTAAAATTAGCTCTCCTTCCAAGGAGCGATATTGTGAGGATCCAATGAGATGATGTTTGCAAAGTACTGGACATATAATAGATGCTGAAGAAAAGTCTCTTCCCATAATTTGTGTGTTAATTTTTACTTTACTTTGCATAGTTTGTGCCTTGGATAAACTGGCTGACACTGAGCTACAAGAACATTTCCCTAAGAATCCCTAAGTTTTTTTCTTTTTTTTTTTTGGTACTAAAGATTGAATCCAGGGATGCTTAACCACTGAGTCACATCCCTAGCCTTACAAAGTTGCCAAGACTGACCTCAAACTTGCAATTCTCCTGCCTCAGCCTCCTGAGATACTGAGATTACAGGCCTGCACCACCATTCCTGACAACATCCCTAAATCTTTTTGGTGTTTTACCCCCCACCCCAAATTAGGATTATAAAGTACCATGTTTAAGTTTATTTATTTTTTTTATCATGTCCACATGGTATGAAGTGAACAGATGCTTTATTTCAATTAACTCAGTCATAGGTAAAGAAAAGTGTGCTGTGATATTTATGATCATTTTTGAACACTCACAGAAGCCAGCACCTCCTTTGTTGAACTGAAATCAATGGCTGTGAGATTCTCTCATGTCCCCCACCCCACCTGATAGTAAAGGTTTCTTCACACCACAGAGGTGACTCAGTTTGTTTTCTGCCTGTCCCTTTATGTCTTCTCTTAGTCTCTTTCTGTTACCCATCAATTGTGTTTTTCCCAGAATTTTCCAGTCCACAAAGGGCCAAATCGTTGACCAAGTCAGTTAACACTTGCTGTTTGGGAAGAGCAACTTCATTAGCTGCTGGCCAGTGTGCAGACTGGTGGCTCAAACCAATCGGGTATGGCTTGACATGGGACAGTTCCTGTCAGGAACTGTGTACAAGTACTGACTGATCTACCTACTACAGGACTTTTGAAGCAAGCTGACCAAAATTTATTGGTTGGTTATAGGAGAAACAGCTTTTCTCTGAGTACTTTTTGGAGAGATAAAGGTAAGAGAGACATCTAAAAGGAAAGGACCAGGGATCCTTTTCTGTGAGATGATGTCTTTGAGATGAATATCACCCAGCAGGGTGCCTTAACTGGACCTCCAGTCTCTGAGTTCTAGGTAAGCAGCCAGGAAGAAGCTATAGACACCGGACAATGATTGTATAAAGTTGGAAAAATTTCTCAATCTTGGAGAACTTCACCATGCTCATTACTTTTGTTTTTACTCATTTACTTTCACTTTTTCATTTTCTTATAAAAACTCATGAAAACAAAAATCAGGGCTTGGGAGCTTATCTACAAGGCAGTAAGAAGATGTAAGGTCAGGGTGGCCATATCCTGTATTTAATC